TGAAGAAGGGTCTAGGCCTGAAACGTCAGCCTTCCTGCTCCTCTGATGCTGCTTGGCCTGCTGTGTTCATCCAGCTCTACACCTTGTCATCTTAAAAATATTCAAAGACTGCTTCTACTGCCTTTTCCAATCAAATGGAATATTGTGAATTTTGAATAATTGGAACAGAATCAGAAGTTGCCACATGACACCGGGTGATAGTCCAACAGGTTTATTTGAAATCACCAGCTTTCGGAATGCTGCTCCTTCGTCAGGTGAAGTCACCTGGTAAAGGAGCAATGCTCCAAAAGTTTGTGATTTCAAATAAACCTGTTGGACTATAACCTGGTGTCGTATGACTTCTGACTCCTGTCCACCCCAGTCCAACACCGGCACACCCGTATCATAATTGAAACCAATACATCAAATATCTCGGTAGCCAGCTCTTTTAAAACCATAATGTGCAAACCATAAGGACTTTGTGGGAAGCTTATTGATGTGTGATTCCAACAATTCGATAGGTAGTATTTCCCAGGTGATTGTAATTTTCTTGAGTTCGTTCCTCCCTCCCTCCCAATTCCTGATTGGTCTTCAAATCAGAATTAAGTGCCAATGAAACATGCCCATTCAATTAATCTACCATCTCATTTTCCATTATTTCCAGTCTCATTTCCATTGCTCACCTTTTAAGTGTTTTCTTTTTTAAAGGGTAACTAGGTAAATACATACTGGAGAAGGGTACAGAGGATTACGCTGATAGGATGAGATTGAAGAGGGGTGGACGGAAGCTTGCGTGCTATCATTTACAATGCCGGACTGAATGGCCTGTGTCTGTGACGTACCTTTTGTGTAATTCCATGAACTATGCAGTATCTTTTTAACTATCAAACAACGCACTGTTATAAAGTAAAAATTGTATTATAACTTCCAAAGGTGTTAACGATTACAGTAGGTCTCCCTTGATGAAGTGAAGGACATGGGTTGAGAAGCAAAACTGAGCCTGGTACACGTAATAATATGACAGATTTGGAAGTGTGAAGTCAGGAGCATTGGAACTGGGTGGTGGGTATTCAGTCCCTTGAGTAAGTTACATGACTCCAAATGGGCCAAGTCTGCTGATAAGGATCCTGTTGTTATATCTGGCCTTTTCCCATATCATTACGTGACATCTGAGCCAGAGACAGAACTTTTTAGTGAAAGGGATAGATTTGAAAAACGCAGAATTTAATTTCTACATGTATGTTTGTGTAGGTCGGAGACATTTCTGTCCAATCTTTTCACCTGGTGGTGTGATCAAGTAACTACACAATGAAAAAAATTGCATAAATTCTGTCATTACCTTTCCCCTTTTAAAGTTTAAAGTTATCTTTCCATTTTGCTATTTTTGATTTCAGATTCCCACATTTGTTATGGAGTGGTACTGTACTAAAAACTATGCTGGATATTCTTCAGACTCTTTCTCTCTCCCTCAGTGCGGTAAGGACCTTAGTCAACAAAGCTCACCACACAGAATGTTCTCACAATAACAGATAATGAGATTAGATAAAATTTTTCCTTGCAGGACATCCACAAGGATCAGCCTTATTATGATATACTCGATACCCCTTACAGAATTACTGTTCCTGATACCTACGAAGCAAGAGAGGTACTGTTATCTTTCATTTTCCAATGCATAAATGTTTATCTGATGCTGAAATAAAAATGGTTTGGTTTCTTCCACACGACAGCCCTTAACCTGACCACATAATTATTTGATCACACTGTAACTGGCTGCACAAGGGCAACTAGTTTGACTGTAATAAACTTTTCTTTCCATGTCCCCTCTCCTTTTGTCCTTCCCACTCTGAGAAGAGCATCTGGGGCCCTGTGTATTGTACTGGTCACTGTACTTACCGAAGGATGTTCATGTGTTGGAAGCAGTCAGGGAAGTTTATTATACTAATAGCTAGAATGAGCAGATTGCCTTATGAGGAAAGCCTTGACAGGGTAGGTCAGTATCCTCTCGATACAAAAGAGTCAGAGTGACTCAAATGAAACCTCTAAGATCCTGAGGGGACTTGACTGGGTGAATGTGAAAAAGATGTTTCCTCTTGTGGGAGAATCTAGAATTGGGGTCATAGCTTAAAAATATGTTATCACCCATTTAAAACAGAGATAAGGATTTTCATTTTTTTTCTTTGTGAATCTTTGGAATTCCTTTTCTCAAAAGGCAGTGGATGCGGAATCTTAAAACATTTTTAAGGCAGAGGTAGATAGAACCTTGATGACCATGGGGATAAAAGTGGGGACATTGAGCAATGTAGAGTTGAAGTTAAAACAGATCAGCCACGATCTTATTGAATGATGGAGCAAGCTTGAAGGATCAGTGTCCGACTCTTGTTCCTTGTTTGTATGTGCGTATTACTTTAGTTTCCTTTAGTTTCCCTGAAGCCTTGTTGAAGATTATGAACTCGGCAACGGCTAGCATTTACTTCAATGTCGCAAAATGTTCCAAGACTCTGCAAAGTTGACACTTTGAGGACAACATGAGGACTGGGTGAAGAGATCCCATGACCAGCAGACCATCTGCTGCCACATCCAGCCGTGTGTTGGTGGACAGTTAAACAGCTAACAGGATATGGATGCTCCATAAAGCCTGTAACATGATTGGAAGCAACGGCTGAAGCCATTGGATACTGCAAAAACTATGGACCCTGACAACATTGCAGCAATAATACGGAAGACTTATGCTCCACAACTAGCCAAGCTCTTCCAGCAAAGCTATGACACTGGTATCTACCCGACACGGTGTAAAGTTTTCTGTACGTGAAAAGCAGAACAAATCCAATGCTAGTTACCACCCTGTCAATTTGATCCTGATCGTGACCAGAGTGATAGAAAGGGGTCATCAACAGTGCTATCAAGTAGCACTTGCTAAGGAATAATCTGCTCACTGGGTTCCGGCAGAGGCTTTTGGCTTGTGGCCTCGTTACAGTCTTAATTCAAACACGGACAAAAAGAAAACGCTGAATTCTAGATGTAAAGTGAGATGAGAGTGACTACCTTGCTGTCACAGGCAACGTTTGATTGAGTATGACATCAAGGAGCTCCAGGAAAAACTAGAGACAATGGGAATTCGAGCGAAAGCTTTCCACTGGCTGGGGTCATACCTGGCACAAAGCAAGATAATCATCATCTCAGTGCCAGAATAGCACCGTTGGAGTTCCCCAGCTTCAGCTGCTTCATCAGTGAATTTCCCTTCATCACAAGATTGGAAGTGGGGATGCTCGGTCAGGATTGAATAATATTCAGTTATGATTTGCGACACCAAAGGTACAAAGCAGTGCACAGAAATACCTGGCTATCATCTAGGTTTGACAAGACAAGAGCCAGGCACCACTACTCCTCAACAAGATGCAATTTAACTATCACCCATTGATGTTCAATGACATTATCACGTTAAATCACCTGCTGTCAACATCTTTGGTGTTACCATTGACCGGAAACTGAACTGAACCATACAAATATCGTGCCTACAAGAGGAGGTCAGAGGCTAGGAATCCTGTAGTGAATAACCCACCGCTTGGTTCCCCAATGTCGACCATCTACAAGGCATGTCAGGAATTTATTGCAATTCTGTTCATTTGCTAAGTTGGGTGCAGTTCCCCAACAATATTTAAGAAGCTTGACAACATTCAGGACAAAGCAGCTTGATTGAAACCCCATCTATGACCTTCACCACTCATTCTTTTCACCAATGACACACTAAGGCAGCAGTGTGCACCATCTACAAGATGCAATGCAGTAACTCACCAAGGTTTCCCTGACAGTACCTCAAAGCATTAATCACTTCTGTCTAGAGCAACAAACTGTTTGGAGCATCACAGCCTGCAAGTTGTCCTCCAAGCCACACACCATCCTGACTTGGCAGTATGTTACCGTTCCTTCACTATCGCAATGTAAATATCCTGGAAACCCCTCCTAACTATCACTGTGGGAGTCCCCACATCCCAAGTACTGTAGTGGTTCAAGAATATAGGAATAAGGAGCAGGAGAAGACCATTCAGCCCCTCAAACCAGCTCCACCATTCAATAAAACAATGGCTGATCTGTTTGTAAACTCAAATCCACATTCCTACCAACTCATGATAACCTTGCCTAAGTAGAATCTATCCACCTCTGCCTTAAAAATACTCGAGGACTCAATTTCCACCATCTGTTCTGGAACTGAATTCCAATGACTCCCGACCATCTCAGAGAAAAAAGACATTGCCTCATCTTTGTTTTAAATAGGGTCCCTGATTTTTAAACAGTGGCCCCTAGTTCTAGGTTATTCTCTAAGGGAAAACGTTCTTTCCATGCCAAATCTGTCAAGAGAACTCACCACCACCTCTAATTTGCCAGTTAAGGGTGACCAGCGAATGCTGCTCTAGCTAGTGTCACCCACATTCTTCGAACAAAACAAAAGTTGGATGAAGTAACAAAATCTTTGGAAAGATGCAAATTTTACTTAATGTCTTAGAGGAGACGTAGAAGTTTAGGGAGGGAGTTCCAAAGGCCAAAGTACAGAAAACTGAAGGCACTGACCAGGTGAAGGAAATTGGGGAAAATGCAGTAGCCCAGAATTGGGGTTGTCTCATGTCTTGGGAGCTTGTAGGATTAGAGGAGACGACAGAGACAAGGATGGGTGGGAGGATTTGAACACAAGGATGAAAACTTGCAAGTTGAACCATTGCTGGACCAGAAATTATCATCAATTGCCAAATGTCAAACCCCAAGTTTACTTGTCTTGCAAACCACTGATGATGAAGCAAATGCTGCCCACCATCCCCTGATAACCCGGTTGTCAAAGTTTATTCAGGTTTGATTCAATTAAACCTCCTGTTTCTTATTTGCTGTTTTGCTCTGCTTGAACTTAGGGGCGGCATGTTGGCATAGTGGTTAGCACTACTGCCTCACAGCGCCAGGGACCTGGGTTCGATTCCAGCCTCGGGTGACTGTCTGTGTAGAGTTTGCACATTCTCCCAGTGTCTGCGTGGGTTTCCTCCGGGTGCTCCGGTTTCCTCCCACAGTCCAAAGATGTGCAGGTTAGGTGGATTGGCCATGCTAAATTGCCCGTAGTGTTCAGGGATGTGTAGATTAGGTGGGTTATAGGGGGATGGGTCTGGGTGGGATGCTCTGAGGTTCGTTGTGGGCTTGTTGGGCTGAAGGGCCTGTTTCCACACTCTAGGGATTCTGTGGCTCTATTCTATGAACTGTTTGGGCCTAGATTTTTGGAAATAGCTTTATCAGCAAGTCCCATCTCCCAACTCCATGACATGTTGTGCAAACATTGTGAGGTGCAGATATTACGCGGGCTAATTAGAGCCATGGGTTGAACTTGGTATAAGGTCCCACGATGCTGCAAACTGTATACATGAGCAACTTACCGGAAAAGAACCTAAAATATTTTTGTTCTACTCCACCACCAGGTGGCGCCTCTCTTTGTCTGACAAAGTTGCTTTGCATTCTCAGAATTAATTATTTTGTAAAAAAAGTCTGCTGAAGCTTTTGTGTAAATTGGTTAACCAATCTATAATGTGTTTTCTCTGTATGTCTCATACTCCTTATTTGGACAGTCATATTCTTCCATGCCGCCTGAGATGGTTTGTCAAGGGGATTTTCTCATTGTAAAGTGATCTAACTCAGTCCCATCTGTAGCAGTGCATTCTCACCACTTCATGGAGAATTGATGAGACTGCAAAAATGCTTATCTATACTGACAGCATAGCTAATTCATTCAGAGGAAAATTTGCTTTGTCCTAGTTTCTCGAAGTTTACCATGATGCTGTTTGCTAGTCTTCTGTTGGAGCACACCACGTTGCCATGAAACATCTTTATTCCGGACCATTTGAAAACTATAAATTTAAAGCCATGATTAATAACACGAAACAGGAGTGTGCGTTACAACCATTTAAGCCAGTTCTGCCATTCAGTATGAAATGGCTCATCTATGTCTATTCCAGTTTTATGTCCATACCCTTGATTCCCTTGTTCCCAAAATCTTTTGATCTCAGTCTTGGATTTGCTTGGAGTTCCCTGAAAGATTATGATTTTAATTCTAGGGAATTATACTACTTTGTCCGATTTATGTTTTACACTCAATAACCGTCCGTGGTTAAGGGTAAGCTAGCTGTTAAATGCAATAATAAACCGAAGTTATGCCTTGTTCTTCGGGAATACAAAGTGTCTCCACGGCACTAAAATTTCCAGCTTCTAGCTGAATTGAAGTTGACAATTTAATGTATTTTATTCCCCTGTGGTGCTCTTAATTTTCCCATTTTTTTTTTTAAAGGAGTGATATTTTTAAAAAAAGAATGTTACGTTTAGGTTCCACAGGAAATATTAGTCACTCAGCGATTGATTTGCACTTGAAGCATGTATTTATGAGCAATAATGTACAGAGGAATAGGTTTTGTTTGTGCAAAGGAGTTGCTATTTATATGATTTTTGCAGAAGATGATTTATAGTAATTTAGTGCACTAATAACATTTTTCAAATCAAGTGAGAGTATCATAGAATCGGTGTAGAAGGAGCCTCTTGTGCAGCCTCTTTGAAGAAACCATTGAGCTCAGTTGGATGTCCTTGCTTTACGATCATAATCTTGAATGTTCCTTATCCGTAAGTTTTTGTCCAGCTCCTTTTAAAAACTATTTATAGAATTGTCTTCCATCACATTTGGAGGTAAAATGTTCCAGATTCAGAAAAGTTTTAAATCCCCTGGTTAGGCCATAAGATAAAGGAGCAGAATTAGGCCATTCAGCCCATTGATTTTGTTTCACCATTTGATCATGGTTGATATGCTTCTCAGTTTCATTCTCCAGCCTTCTCCCTGTAACCCTTGATCCCCTTACTAATCAAGAGCCTGTCTCTCTCTGTCTTACATACACTTGATGACTTGGCCTCCACAGCCCTCTGCAGCAATGAGTTTCACAGATTAACCAAATTCCTCCTCGTTTCAGTTCTGAAGGATTGTTCCTTAACTCTGAGGCTGTGCCCTCAGGTCCTAGCCTCTCCTATGAGTGGAAACACCTTCTCGGCATCCATTCTATCCAAGGCTCTCAGTTTCAATCCGATTTCCTGTCATCCTTCCAAACCCCGTTGAGTACAGACCCAGAGTCTTCATATGACAAGCCCATTGTCCCTGGAATCATTCTTGTAAACCTCCTCTGGAGCTTCTCCCAAGGCCAGCCCATCCTTCCTTAGATATGGGGCCCAAAACTGCTCTCACTATTCCAAATACAGTCTGACCAATGCCTTATACAGCCTCAGTAGTACATCTCTGCTCTTGTATTCTAGCCCTCCTGGCAATGAATTCTAACATTGCATTTGCCGTCCTAACTGCCAACTGAACCTGCATGTTAATCTTAAAAGTCCTCTTGACGAGGACTCCCAAGTCCCTTTGTGCTTCAGATTTCTGAAGTCTTTTCCCATTTAGGAAATAGACCATGCTTCTACTCTTCTTACCAAAGTGCATAACCTCACACTTGCCCACATTGTATTCCGTCTGCCACTTCTTTGTCCACTCTCTTAGCCTGTCCAAGTCCTCCTGCAGCCTCCCTGCTTCCTCACCACTACCTGTCCCTCCACCTATCTTCGTGTTAAACCTAATAATCTCTTTTCTTCCTCCCCTCAGAGCATTGTTCGAGATTTTGCAGCTCGTTGTGGTGGCATCCTTCAGGAGGCAATGAAATGGGCTCCATCCGTTACCAAGTCCCATCTTCAGGTAATTTGCCAGCTCATTTAGCAAAAACAAAACAAAAGCAACGCGCACAGAATTAATGCACACACTGGATGCAAATTGGCTTGGTGATTGGAGACGAGTTTACATTTAGATGACCCCTTTAATGTAGAACGATGTTCCAAGGCCACATCACTGATGTGTGATGAAATAAAAATTTGACACCAAGCCTTTAGAAGGAATATTCAGACAGGTGACCAAAAACTTTGACAAAAGAGTTGCCTTTTTAATATTATGGACAGGATGTATCTGATGGTGACCCTAGGGATCTGTTTTGAGGCCTCCCTTAGCTTTTCACTATATTTGTCAGAGACCTAGACGAATAAACAGTCTTCTTTGCAATGTTGCTGACCACACGTGAGGCTCAATAGGCAGTACAGAATGAAGTTATATGAGGGCGTGCATCGATTTAGTAAGTGGCAGAACTGTGGAGAGCAGAATTCAGTGTGGGGACTAGGGAGGTCATCCGTTATGGATCCCAGATTGGCAAAGAGTGCTATTCTCTAAATGGTGACAAACTGAAAACTGAGAAGGAGCAAAGAGATTTAAGGGTCTGTATGTACATGACAGAAAACAAATGAACAATTACAAGAAGCGATCAGAAAAGGGTTCATGGAATGTGGGCTGTAACCCCTAGTGGACTGCAGTATGAAGAGAGGGATGTTATGCATCAGTTAATAGACTTAGCAGGAATATACATTCAGTTCTGGACATGGCGCCTCAGAATATATTGACCTGGGAGTTCATTTCAGATTTACTGGAATAATACTAGTGGATAAAGAGTTAAATTAGGAGGCCAGGTAGCACAATTTTGTCTCTCTTTTTTTCAGTGTTGTGAATTAAGGAATGACCTGATCAAGATGTTTAAAATGACAGGGGATGGTAAGGGGAATCTACTTTGGTGGAGAAATCTAGAACTAGATTGTATAAAAATTAAAATTAGAGCTAGGCCATTCTGGAATAAAATTGGGAATCACTTCATTCAACCAACAGTAAAGATGTGAAGCTCTACTCCTAAGACATCGTTGGTACTGTGTGTCATTTTAAGGTTTCACAGAGTTTCTTCTTCTTCAAGGTATTGAGGAATAATAGCCCAGTGTAAAGAGAAGTGAGGAGTGGTTTAGCTTTGAGCTAATTGAATAGCAGAGCAGGCTTGATGAACTGAGTGGTCATATTCCTGTTCAGATATCCCATCTTAATAGAGCATATGTTGCCACCTTGTGGAATAAAGAGAAATTGTGGCAGATTATTCATGTGAACTTCCCTCCTTTTGGCAAATATTTGGATACTTAAAATCTGTAGTATCTGTGTGGTGAATGTTTCTGAAATTATGCTATGTAGCTAAAATTAATCCTCGTGTTAGATTTTTTATTTTACAAATGGAGTTAAATGCGGTGTTGTGAATATAGTGGTCTGTGTTTTGTTTTCATTTTTCAGGAATATCTGAATAAGCATCAGAATTGGGTGTCAGGCTTGTCTCAGCACACTGGCCTTGCTATGGCAACTGAAAGTATCTTGAACTTTGCGAGTTACAACAGACAGAACACGACTTTGGGGGTATGTACAGCAGGGACAGAGTTGGTAATGAATGACGTGGAATTGCTGCTGACGATACAAGGAAGGAGTAGTAGTGTAAAAATAAATTTGTCTCCAGCTCTAATCCCTTCATGATTTGCCATTTATTTTGCCATTTTCTATTAATTAAATGTGGTGACCCACTGTGCTTAAAAAGCCAACTCCCCAATCATGGAGGCATGGATTCCTTCAGAAACTTGCCCTTCTCTAAGACCAGCCTCATCCAAGAAGGCTTCAAAGGTCTTACAGTTTTAAATTACAATTACAGATCACCCGTCAAATCTCTGAATTCAACTCCTTTTGATCACTGACTTTGCACTGAGAATTAACAGTTCTTAATTTTAAGAATCGCAGAATGATACAACACAAAAGGAGGTCATTCAGCTCCTTATGCCTGTGCTAGCACTTTGAAAGATTAGTCCCATTCCCTTGCAATTTTTGCATCGCCCTGCAAGTTCTTCCCTTTCAAGTTTTTGAAAATTATTATTAAATCTGCTTTCACCACCCTTTTAAGCTGCATAAAAATATAGTTTCCCCTCACCTCCTGGTTCTTTTGCGTTTTATCTAAGTCAGATCTCTCTCATTATTGATCTTGATTCTATCCGAAACAATTTCTTTTTATTTACTGTATATTATTTTGAACATCTCTAACAAATTTTCCCTTAACTTTCCGAAGCAAATAGTCTCGGTTTATCTCAAACCTTATTTATTTAGAAAAATCTTTATTCTAACAATAATGCTCTGGGTGCAACTTTAAAGCAGCAATTTAAGTCTTAATTTTCACTGAAAACATCTGTGCCAAATCGAAGTTTGCATCTACGCTGCTAAGATACAGCTATCGTCTACTTTGAATCATGTTTGCAATTTAAAGTAACAAAGGTGAGTATGCAAATTGGGATCTTCTTGCAGCCACCCTGGGGAAATACTTCCAATAGATTCCATTCAAAGAGAAACAACTGCCCCAGAAAAAGGAACAGTTTAGTCACTGCAACTGCTGTTGAGTGTTTTTTGCCAACATATATCTGGAAGTAGTTTTGTTTTCCTAATCTCTCAGTTAAGAAAGTGTTTGCAGTATCTGGCATAGGAGAAGTTAGCCAGAAAACACTAAAACATAGAACTGTGGATACTGGAAATTGGAAATCAAAACAGAAATTGCTGGAGAAACTCAGCAGGTTTGGCAGCATCTGTGGAGAGAAAGCAGAATAATATTTCAAGCCCAGTAACCCTCCTTTAGAACCTGAAGAAGGGTCATTGGACTCAAAACACTAACTCTGTTTCTCTCCCACAGATGCTGCCATACCTACTGAGTTTTTCCAGCAATTTCTGTTTATATACCAAAGAAAAAACTGGTTTTAATTAAGAAGCAAAATACTGCAGATACTGGAAATATGAAATTTAAATTAATAAAAAACTTCTGTAATACTCAGTAGATCAATATCATTTGTGGGGAGAAAAACAGTTAACATTTCAGGGTAATAAGCTGCAATCAGATAGTTACAGTTGGGCCAAGCTAAAACATACATGTGCTAGCAAAGCAACACCAGTTTATTTAGTTAGATAAATCATAAGTTTAGTTGAGCGTTGTAATTGTAGCTCAAATTTTAGGATATTGAATCAGTTTTAGCTTTTGCGTATAATTTAATGTTTCATGCTTTCCTTTAAATAAAATAAAAATCAGAGTACATGTTGAGTTTTGCTTTATTAAGCCAGTTGTTTAAGATTACAGAGCCCACAGCACTGCAGACATCAGGAAACCGCTTAAATATTCAGCTTTTCTTTAACATGTTGTCTTAATAATATAGTGCTTTGATAGTAAAATACTCCCCATCTTCAGTCTCCCAATGTGCCAATCTCTAGCTATAAACATTCATTGTTCCTTTCACTTCCTAAAGTTAATCATCAAACATCCGTGTTTCTCAACAAGTTTATCCATTGACCCTGCAAATAATGAAATTTGCATCTCATGTGAAAGTACAATACTGTGGGTGCTGAGAATCTGAAATAAAATCTGAAAATGGTGGAAATACTCAGCAGGTCAGGCAGAGTCTGTGTAGAAAGAAACATTAAGGCTTCAAGTCAAGGTTTTTATATCAGAACTCTGAAAGTTTGCGATTAAAGTTTTGGTGCAAACGTTAGCTTTGTTTCTGTCTCCACAGATGCTAGCTGACCAGGAGATTTACTGCTTTTAGCCCTCCCCTCAGACAGCACTAAGATACTATCTGGGTTAGCTAGATTAAGAAATTGAAAGCACTCTATTTGCCATTCCTGGCCACATTCTGTTGTACAATGTGATATAGATGGATGAAAATCAATCTTGAGCTGGGCTGCAATGTGATTCCCCTACCCCGCCCACAGTGATGAAATGCTAAAATGTGCTCTTATGAACTGGGAAGAATAATGTCACATGGATAAGTTACTGAATGGGGGTCTGTTGGAACTGTTACTCCAGTAGCCACTAAATACATCTTTTGAGAGTGTGTGAGAACATTTAACTGAAGATGTATCACATCACAGCACATGTCAGAGCATTTGGTCCCACCCCACTCTTTACCATCACAGATTGAACTCTTTCATTTGACATAAATCACTTTGAAGGCAGAGATGCTCACAGCTGGCTATCGTGTCACTTTGCACAGTGGTGGCCCCTGTTGTTTAATTTCAATTTTTCAGTGAAATGTGTTTGTTTGGTTTCTTTTACATTTTTACTTTCCCCATGAACTAGTTTTGTGATGTGCTTGTTCCTGTTTTACATATTCACTGACTGTGCTGCATTGTGTGTAACCTCCACAGCCATCATCTTCCTTTGTTATCCAGGTTTGTTGTAGCAATAACCAACACGTTCGACTTGTTTTGTGGGAGTTTTAGCTTCTCATTTCTTTCATTGAAGTAAATTATCTACGAGTGAAATATGTGCTCAGAGATTTGACGCAATTGTGCGTAGAAAAACAATTCTGAAGTTCAAATTCAGCATTTTGATGCAGCTGCCTTAAAGCAGTTGAACCATCCAAGATGGAATGTGACTCATGCAAAACCAAAATTCTAATTCCAGTTGTAATTGTTTTAGAAAGGCAATCATGACTTTATAAAGTGACGTGTTTGCTATGTGACATTTTTTCTTAACAATAGAATGACTCAAATGGAAGCTAAAACATGAATTTTGGAAGTTAGAACATTAGTGAGTGCAGACGTGGTATATGAGAGTGCATTTCCGATTTTGCCTTGTAGATCTTTTACTGTTTAACTATGATTTTGGGGTGAAATGCAATGGTTATTCGTGATCCATGTGGTTGATACACTCAAATCACTAGGAAGATCATTTCTTGATTGGGTTTGATCCTTTTCTAATAATTCCTACTAATTTCTATCTGTGTTAGTTTTAGATTTGAGCGAAGCCTTTTATAACACATCATTTTGGTGATTTACAAAGAATGTCTTTGCATTGCTAATCACAAAATTGATCCTGATTCAAAAGTGAAGAATAATGAACCCTAACTGACAAAAGCAGTTGCAGAGTTCAGATCACTCAACATACCTTGCCAAATTCCCCATCCTGAACTTAAAATATGTTGAAAGATTTGTATGTTGGGAGTACATAAAGGACATCCCTGCTAATATCCGTATGGTTGATGGTAGTCCTGTGTTTCCACCCATTGTGTGTACCAAGATGGCTGTTCCCAGCTGATAGTGAGGACGCTGCTCTTGGCTTTCGCGGTCCCCAAGTTAAGGAGAACTGAAATTCTCGCTGTAAAGTATTTGCAAATTGCTTGTGCAGCTGTTGAGATGAGTACACCATTGGGCGTAGCCTTGAAACTTTCCACTGCTGTATATTGTGCTATCACACCCTGTAGGCTGTCATTTAGGAGTGGCCACTTGCATGTGTCTTAAAGGGAGATAGAGCCTTCATCAGGTAGGGATGGAGGACATCAGATGCATTACATTTTGCTTTAGTTTCCTTTCCAACACTCTAAACAAACGTAAATACATGTGGAAAAACTTACTTCAGGTATCTTCTTAAACTATCAGCACAGGATAAGTTCTGTAAAGAATGAATTGGCACACTCAGAACCACATGACAGACAATTAGTCATGGACGTGTTACCTGATTTTCTGTGGATTATGGAGCACAGCGTGAAATAACCAATACAATGTATTGCCATTTCATTATTCATGTCTTTTGTTAAATGATGTGTGTTATAAATTGCTTATTCCATTTTCTCAAACTGCTTGGAAGTGTAACAGGTGGTGGGGTAGAATGTGGTTTGAAATATTTTATTTTGAAATATTTTATTTTGTGTCAATATCTGTGGATGTGCTGTTTTGTTGCCACTGTTGCCTTCAGATGACCAGCATTGATAAGATGTTGGATAACTACCTGTAAATGTGGGTAGGCATGTATTTATAAAACCAATCTGATCTCGAATTTAGATTATCATCCAATTGCGTTTTACATTATTCAATTATATTACTTGTAAGGGAACTAAGCAAGATATCAGCACTGGAGGTGATTATGTATCAATATTGTAGGCATTTGAAAAGTATCAATTCTAAGGCATTTAACAATATTTATGAAATGCCAATTGGATTTACAAAACCAATATTGCATATCAAAAGCTTATAAAATAACACTGCAAGCACTTATAAAGTCTCAATCTTGGAATTTAACAGAATGTTGTATGTTACAAAAAAATCAGTGCAGTAGATTCATAAAATATAAATATTCTAAGCCATATAAATCATTAATATTGATAATTTGTAAATTATTGATACATCAAACTTATTATAGGGGCTCTTGTGGTGCAGATGTAGAGGCCTCATCTCTAAATCCAGGAGGCCTGCATTTAAGTCTCATCAGCTCCTGAGGTGTGAACAGATTGATTAGAAAAATATTGTAATCATTTCTAGGAAAGATTTATAAGACATCGGTGGGGGAGAAAAGCTTGTATTCATGCAGCATCTTTTGCCTCTAAGCCACAAAAAAAAACAAAGGTTTATCTATCTGAGATTTAAAATTGACAACTTGATCCTGCATCCGTTGCTGTTTGTGGAAGAGAGTCCCAAATATCCATCACCCTTTGTATGTAGAAGTGCTTCCTAGCATCTTTCCTGAATGGACTGGCCCTAATTTTCAGACTATGTCCCCTAGTTCTACAATCTCCAAACAGTTAAAATAGTTTATCTGCCCTTTTCTTGTTACTACATCCTGAAGACTTTGATCAGGTCACCACTTAACCTTCTAAATTCTAAAGAAAACAGGCCTAATTGTGTAATCTATCCTTATAACTTAACCCCTGAAATCCTGTTATTGTTCTTGTAGACTTACGTTTTACCTCCTCCAAGGCCAGTACACCCTTCCTAAAATGTGGTGCCCAAATCTGCTCACAGTACTCCAAGTGGAGTTTTTTATAAATGCAGCACAACTTCTGCATCCTTACTACTCCAGTTGTCTGGATGTAAAGGCCAGCATGACAGAGCTCAGACTAGAAATTCCTGTCATCCTTGGGCTGGAAAGCGTTTTGTGCCTTATGAGCATTTTTTCCAGCTGGTACGTGGTGTCACTGAGGAAAGGAAATTCCCTGGAAACACACCTCCCGGCTTTTGTATTGTGAAAAGACGTGGTTGGATACAAATATTTTCAACAGTGAAGCATGAAAATTTGAATGGACAAGGGGAATTACAGAAAGCTGTCAGTATGAGGTGAATGAAGCAAATCTTTACAGCACCCAGTTGCATTAGTCAGTTTTGGGTATTCTCATACTTTGTAACATTATATAACTATTATTAATTGGTGATCTCAACTTTTCTCACTATCACTTCGACAACTAGTTAAAAACTGACCATCCAAAGTTCCACAGTAGAATGTTTGTTTTTAATCCTGTGAAATAGTTCCCACATTAAACATTCTGTTTGATAAATACATTTATTATCATTTTAACTCAGTTGACCTGTTAATAGTCCATTTATTTTATAGATCACGATGTGCCAAATGTGGCTAATTTGCACTTTGATTCTGCTTAGCTGTGGATTGTATTAAAATTGTTAAATAAATAAGAATCGCTGCTACCTTTTAAAATAAATTATAAGAATGACCCATCATCGTCATCATCAGTCAGATTTGATCCTTGGGTCTCCTGGGAGTGCTGTGCTGTGCCACTCCCTCACCAAATCAACTGGCAGCTGTTGGGTATCTGGCGCAGAATTGTCAGGCCATATGGCCTATTTCTGTGCTGTAAGTCCTTGATGCCTGCTCAGCATTGTTTCAAAACATAATGGAATGCAAACCCGTGGAAGATGTATGGCTATAATAACAAAACATTCAAACTTAATGAGTGTTAATTAAGACTGTTTGGTATTAGCTGTTGCCACCCAACTGTGGTTCCAGGTTTGTCTGTTGCCTCAGTTTGTTTGGTTTTGTTGAGTAATTTAGATCTGATATTAGCAAGATCTTGGAATTTTATTATTGGGACCTTCATTGTTGTATTCAAAGACAGTTAACTCTGTTAATTCCACCCTGTTGCCTCAACCCCCTTTCCAATGTGGTTCCTCTTTTCTGATCACAGAATAGGCTGAATTTCCATTCTGATTATAACAGGTATGTAAGCTGCTACCCCTAAAACTATGATTAAAACATTGGAACCATATTTTTTGTTTTTGCATAGTTTCCACAGTGACCGAAACTAATGAAACTGCAGTTTCCTCCAAACAAGTTTCCCTCCTGTGATGATAGATATATTTTGCATCACAGGTTGCCCTGAAGTGAATAGATGAGGATGTGGTGGCGATAGTAATTATTTGGTAGTATTGAACAATCATTTCAAATAGTTTCTCATTCTCAGTATTAATGTTGAACGGGGGTCTGAAATTTTGATGAAGCCAATTGGAATTTATATTAATTTGATAGAGCTATGTTATCTACAAGCTATAAATTGAATGAAATATCAAATTATGTTTTTCTCCAGAATCATCTCAAACTTTAAAATATTAGTTGTTTTCTGTCTGTAAATACCTTCATTTCTTAACTCCTAATTGAAGCACTTTACACCAAGAATGTTTTACATGTTCATGCATTCCTCTGCAGGCGACTCAGCTAACTGAAAGACCTGCTTGTGTGAAGAAGGACTATTCTAGCTTTATGTCTTCACTCAATCTACGCAATCGCTCTGCAGGAGAGGTAAAAGCATTCATTTAAAACTATTCCTTTACCATCATCTTTCTTATCTATTATGAATTTTTGAAATCCCAATCAAGGAAAACCAGCTGTTTCCTGCTTTCTGCAAATGTTATACATAAACCTGTGTGAGGTTAGCCAAGAAGCAAATAAAGGAATAAATTGTGTTATTGATGATGTTTTACCATGATCTCAGGATGGCCTAAGATGGGTTCTATCCAATGTAATACTTCATGTGCCAGTCACTTGTTATGCAGGCATACAGGGCAATTAGATGGTGAGGACACAGATATATCCCATCTTGTAAAGGCAGTTAAAAGGTCAGGTTTTATCAGCTTAGGCAGTATGGTTTGCTGGGCTAGATCTACACATCCAGATGGTGTTGAAGAGGAATTTTGGAATTCTGTACCTCAAAGTTGAGTGCTTTTTGTTGCCTAAGGTTACCATGCCATGTGGGTACGATCCTGCATCATGCTTAAGGATAGGAAAAGACCACATGATCACACATCTTCCCATATCTGTCCTGTTGGATATTCTTTTCCGCATCGAAGGAATGAGCAAAATTGAATCTGTTTTGACCATGCTGATTGTTTGACAAATATTAGCCAAGGTCTGCTCAGAAATTTGCTTTGAATGATGCCATCCAAGTGGCCAGATAAGTTCAAAGCTAAAAATCTTGTTGGAAAGATGGCATCTTTGACAATGTGGCACTACCATCAGCACTGCGCAGTTTAAGCTAGGTTATATGCTCAGCAGGAAGCCATTAATTCAGAAAAAGAGAAGATGGCAAGGTGAAACCAAAAAAAAATTATGATTTAGCCTAATAGTTCGCTGGAATAATGTAATTGTGATTTCAGTCGTCCAGAGCTATTTTGCTGAAGTTGAGTGATGGTTCCGTTTCCTGTCATGAAAGACGTACATTTGCCAACTGTACAATATTTTGGAGTATTTCAGTTTGTTTTTCCTCTCCACAGGTTGCAGGCATGATACGTTTCTCTGAAGCAACTGGTCAACAGCAGTCTTACCTGAACAAAGTTATGATTAAAAAGCTTAATGATGCCCTGGAATCAGCTGAGAGTGAGGCTTACACACAATCCATGTTCAACCTTACTGCTTTGCTTATCAGCAGCAAAGGTGAGGGATTTGGCACTGAAATATATCCTACCTTAGAAAATATATTCTAAAGAAGTCAACTGGGAGAGTTAAAAACAAGCTCCAAAATCTGATATTTTTATTAGTATGCAAGAAGCACTAGGTTTTTTTAAGACAGTGCATATGTTCCAACAGGAGTGCCATATTTCATTATTTAACAGTGCGTCTGTACAATAGATGAGGTTTCAATGGTGATATACTGCATCTCTGAGGTTCAGTTTGAACTAATGCTGACATTTACCTAGGCCTCATTATAATCTGTTAGCTGTTTCATTTGCAAAATAAGTCTGGCTGATGCTTTTTGATCAATAATTGCACCTGACTCTGACTCTGACTCTGACTCTTGAATTCTAAAGCTCCATCATTTATCACTAACACTTCAGATTATTTAACTGTTTTGGCCATCTCAAGTTTAAATGAATAATTAGACTGCATTTTAAATGTAAAGGATGCATTTTATTTTCTGGTCCTGCTACAGTTTGTGATCCTCAACTCCTTCATCATCTGTGCTGGGCTCCTCTGCGCATGTTTACGGCATTGGGCATGGAAACCGCTGTAGCTTGTTGGGAATGGCTGCTGGCTGCAAAGAATGGCATAGAGGTTCCAGTAAGTATTATGCCTCCAGTTAATATTGTCATTTAAAAGCAAGTCACAAAAATCAGTACCTCATTGTGCTGTGCCATTCACCATCATTCAGGCAAGGAGAGTGCATCTCTGTCTTCCTGCAAGGATTTTCATTTAAAAATTGCAAAAAAGAAGTAGCTCATTACAACAGTTCCGTTGGACAAGACTTAACTTTGGGAATGCAGTAATCTGGAAATGATCTGTAAGTGTACAGAGATGCTAGCCAGCTCTGCACTGACAGTGTGGTTAATTCACAATGCAGGGAGGAGAAATTAGTGAGTTGCCTTTGACCGGTCATTGCAATATTTATTTATTTCTTTTGACACCTCAGATTGGACTAATTTTTAAAATCCATTTATCCTTGTCTGCCTGTATACTTATGAAATATAAATTTGTGTCGATTTTTGAAAGATGTCGGCCATAAGAATTACAAAACTATTTTATTTTTCTAGAAAGATTTAATCTAAAATGGTGGATTTAGAAAAAAATATTGTCTTTTCTTTGACCGATTTTATATATTTTTTTGACCTGATAGTTGTAATAAATGTTTGCTACCAGAAGGCTTAGAAGTAATAACATTTTAATTAATTATTTTAAAATTGTAGTACTAGTTCTCTGACATAGTAAATGAAGACACAATCATTAGTAAACAGAAAATTCCAGGATTGACTGTAGTTGAGTTGGTCTTGCTCAAAGAAGGGAAAGCTGATCATTCAGGAGTTATATGAGGCATACAGCATGTCTGTGCTGACCAACAAACACCAAACTCCAGTAATCCCATTTACCTGCACTTGATCCATAGTCTACTGTGCCTTGGCATTTTAAGTACTCCTAATGCTTCCTCAATGTTGCGACAGTAATTGCCTTCACCACTATCTCAGGCAGCATGATCCATGTATCTACCACCCTCTGGGTGAACAAGTTTTCCTCAGATCTCCTCTAAACCACTTGGTCCTCACCTTAAACTTATACCCTCTGGCCTTATACACATCTGCCATGGAGAAGAGATTCTCATGATCTGCTCTGTCTATGCGTCTCATACTTCCATAAATCTCAATCAGATCCCCTTCAATCTTCTCTGCTCCAGGGAAAACAAACCCACATCCTGGTGAATTTTCTTTGCACCCTCTCCAGTACAATCATGTCCTTCTGATAGTGTGGTGACCAAAACTACACACCGTATTCCATCAGTCACCTAACCAATGTTTTATAAAGTCGTAACAAACCGTCCTTGCTGTTATAGTCCATGCCCTGGCTAATGAAGGCAAGCGTCCCATATGCCTTCTTCACCACGCTGTCTCCCTGTGCTGACACCTTGAGGGATCTATGGACTTGTACACCAAGATCCTTTTGTTCCTCAGTACTCCCTAGGGACCCATCATTCATTGTATAAATCCTTCCTTAGGGACCTCCCAAAATGCATCACCTCACACTTATCGGGATTAAATTCCATCTGCCATTGCTTTGCCCAATTTACCAGCTGGCCAACATCAGACTGTAACCTGAAACCTGAAACCATCCTCCTTGCCATCAACAACACCACCAATTTTGTGTCATCTGCAAACTGCTACATTCACATCCATGTTGTAAATGTACATAACAAACTGCAAGGGTCCCAGTTCCTAATTGCTGATTTTCCAGTGGCTCCACATGTTAAGTGAGGTTGAGGTCAAATTCTACTGTGGTGCCCTGCATCACACTAGCATGAGTTGACAACTTTGGAGAAGAGAGAGGAAAAGGGTGTGTTTCATAATTGTGGGCCATTTCTTCTACAGTGCTTCATACACACACATTTCAGGGTCAGTGTGCAACAGGTACATTTTCACCAATATGAGTGCTCCACACAGAGCAGACACTGCTATTTGAAGGCCTTATGTGTAGTTTATAATGACTGTCATACTTTATTTCATATAATCCTTACAGTGTGGAAACAGGCCGTTCAGCCCATCCAGTCCACACCGACCCTCTGAAGAGCATCCCACCTAGACCTATCCCTGTAACCCTGCATTTCCCATGGCTAGCCCACCTATGGGGCAATTTAAATGGCCAATCCACCTTTCCTGCACATCTTTGAACTGTGGGAGAAAGCCAGAACAACCGGAGGGAACGCACGCTGACCATGGGGAGAACATGCAGACTCCACATAGATAGTCGCACCAAGGATGGAATTGACTTAGGTCCTTGGTGTTTTGAGGCAGCAGTGCTAACCACTGAGCCACCGTGCTGCCCCAATTAAAAACAAAATAGTGTGGATGCTTAAACCCCTGTTTAAGAAAGGAGGGAGGCAGAAGACAGGAAACTATAGGCCAGTTAGCCTGACTTCGGTCATTGTTAAAATTTTAGAGTCCATTATTAAGGATGAGACTGGGGAGTACCTGGAAGTGGGTGACTGGGATTGTACGATAGACCCTTCCCATAATAGTCAGTGGGAAATTGAGAGAAATTTGTAAGGAGGCCTCCGTTATCTGTGAGAATAATAGGGTGGTTATGGTAGAGGATTTTAACTTTCGAAACATAGACAGGGACTGCCTATATTGTTAAGGGCTTGGATGGAGAGGAATTTGAGGGATCACAAGAAAATTTTCTGATTCAGTATGTGGATGTACCTGCTAGAGAAGGTGCAAAACTTGACCTAGTCTTGGGAACTAACGCAGGGCAGGTGACTGAGGTATCAACTGGGGAGTGCTTTGGGGCCAGTGATCAAAACTCTATTAATTTTAAAATAGTGATGGAAAAGGATAGACTGGATCTACAGGTTAAAGCCACAGTTGAGGTGCAGGAAGACTGGAGGTTGGCCAATGTTGTGCCAGGAAAAGGCAGGGAGCTATAGACCGGTGAGCCTGACATCGGTGGTGGGCACGTTATTGGAGGGAATCCTGAGGGACAGGATTTACATTTATTTGGAAAGGCAAGGACTGATTAGGATTAGTCAACATGGCTTTGTGTGTGGGAAATCATGTCTCAGTAAATTGAGTTTTTTTGAAAAAGTAACGAAGAGGATTGATGAGGGTAAAGTGGTGGATGTGATCTATATGGACTTCGGTAAGGCATTTGACAATGTTCCTCATGGTAGACTGGTTAACAAGGGCAGATCATATGGAATATAGAGAGAACTCGCTGTTTGGATACAGAACTGGCTCAAAGGTAGAAGACAGAGGTGGTGAAGGGTTGCTTTTCAGACTGGAGGCCTGTGATCAGCGGTGTGCTGCAAGGTTCGGTGCTGGGTCCACTGCTTTTCGTCATTTACGTAAATGCTTTGGATATAGACATAGGAGGTATGATTAGTAAGTTTGCAGATGATACTAAAATTGGAGGTATAGTGGACAGTGAAGAAGGTTACCTCCGAGTACAACAGGATCTTGATCAGATGGGCCAATGGACCGAGCAGTGGCAGTTGGAGTTTAATTTAGATAAATGGAAGATGCTGCATTTTGGAAAGGCAAATCATGGCAGGACTTGTACACTTAATGGTAAGGTTCATAGGAGTGTTGCTGAATAAAGAGACCTTGGAGTTGCAGGTGGATAGGATAGTGAAGATGACATTTAGTATGCTTGCGTTTATTGGTCCAGTGCGTTGAGTATTGGAGTTGGGAGGTCATGTTGCGGCTGTACAGGACGTTGATTCGGCCACTTTTGGAGTATAGCATGCAGTTCTGGTCTCCTTCCTATAGGAAGAATGTTATGAAACTAAAAAAGGTTCAGAAAAGATTTACGAGGATGTTGCCAGGGTTGGAGGGTTTGAGCTCTCGGGAGGCTGAATAGGCTGGAGCCATTTTCCCTGGAGTGTCGGAGGCTGAGGGGTGACCTTAGAGGTTTATAAAATCATGAGGGGCATGGATAAGATAAATAGTCAAGGTGCCCAGGATGGGGGAGTCCAAAACAAGAGAGGATAGGTTTAAGGTGAGAGAGAAAAGATATAAAAGGGTCCTAAGAGGCAATGTTTTCATGCGGAGGGTGGTGCATGTATGGAATAAGCTGCCAGAGGAAGTGGTGGAGGCTGGTACAATTACAATATTTAAAAGGCATCTGGATGGGTCTATGAATAGGAAGGGTTTAGCGGGATATGGGGCAAATACTGGCAAATGGGACTGAATTTATTTAGGATATCTGGTCGGCCTGGATGAGTTGGACCAAAGGGTTTGTTTCCATGCTGTACGTCTCTATGACCTTATAAAATAGGGCTGAGTCAACACAGTTGCTGAAGGACAGGTCATGCCTGACAAAGCAATTAGAATTCTTTGAGGAGGTAATGAGCAAGTTAGACAAAGGAGAGCCAGTGGATGCGATGTATTTGGATTTCCAGAAGGTCTTTGACAAGGTGCAGCACAAGACGCTGCTAAATGTGGTAAGAGTCCATGGTGTTAGGGACAATGATGTAGGATTGGCTGACCGGCAGAAGTAACAGAGTGGGAATAAAGGGGTCTTTTCAGGATGGCATCTGGTGACTAGTGGAGTTACATGTGGGTCAGTGCTGGGACTACGACTATTCACATTTATGCATTAATGATCTAGACGAACGAGCTGAGGACTTTGTTGCTAAGTTTGTAGATGACACAAAGATACGTTGAGGGACAGATAGTGTTGAGGAAATGGGGAGGCTGCATAAGGACTTGGACAGACTAGAGGGGAGGGCAAAAAAGTGGCAGATGGAAAACTGTGTGGGAAGGTGTGAGCTGATGCACTTTGGTTGGAAGAATAGAGGTGTAGACTCTTTTCTAAATGGGGAAAGGCTTTGGAAATCTGAAGCACAAGGGGACTTGGGAGTCCTTGCTAAGGATTCTCTTAACGTTAACGTGCAGGTTCAGTCAGCAATTATGAAGGCAAATGCAATGTTAGGATTCATTTCAAGAGGACTAGACTACAAGAGCAGAGATGTACAGCTGAGGCTGTATAAGGCTCTGGTCAGACCACATTTGGGATATTGTAAGCAGTTTTGAGTCCCATGTGTAAGGAAGGACGTGTTGGCAATGGAGGGCATCCAGAGGCGATTTACATGAATGATCCTGGGGATGAAGGTCTTGTCATATGAGGAGTGTTTGAGGACCGTGCATCTGTATATGATGGAGTTTAGAAGGATTGTGGGGGGCGTGGGTGCAGTGGGTATTTGATTGAAACTTACAGAATACTGAGAGGCCTGGATAGGGTGGGCGCGGAGAAAATGTTTCCACTAATAGGTGGGAAAAGACCGAGGACACAGCCTCAGAATGAAGGGATGACCCTTTAGAACTTAGATGAGGAGGAATTTCTTCAGCTACAGGGGGTGGTGAATCTGTGGAACACGTTGCTGCAGAAGGCTGTGGAGACCATGTCATTGAGTGTATTTAAGAAAGAGATAGGTTCTTGATTGGTAAGGGGATCAAAGGTTTTGGGGAGAAGGCAGGAGAATGGTGTTGAGAAACCGATCAAATGATCAGTCATGATCAAATGGCAGAGGAGATGCGATATGCTGAATGACCTAATTTTGTTCCCATGTCTTCTGGTCTAAATCTGAAACAAACACAGAATCTTCTGGAGAAAAACAGAGTTCTTGAAAGTGTTGTTGATTGTTGGAAAAACCCTTCTGGTTGATTAATGCCTTTTCGGGAAGGAAACTGCTAACCTTACCTGGTTTGGCCTAAATGTGACTCCAGACCCACAGCAATTAGGGATGGGCATCAAGTGCTGGCCCAGCTAGCAACACACACATCCCGTGAATGAATTAGAAAAAGGTCAGGTCAGTCTGTTCAGTTCTGATGTGAACTCTGTTTCTCTCTCCATTGATGCTATCAGACTGACTGAGTTTCTGCAGTGTTTTCTGTGTTTGTCCCCTATTTTGTTCTACAAGTAAGGGAAACCTTTGTTTTGATCTTAAATGCATTGACCTTTTTCATCAATTCTAATTTATTTATTGATCGCAAGAAGAAACGCTTTCTGTTCTGCTTGTTACCTTTTTGCAGTTTATGCGGGAAATGGTTGGAGCATGGCAGATGACAGTGCAACAGAAGATTGGTCTTTTCTCAGAAGAGAATAAAGAAGCTGATCCTTTGGCAGCTTCAGAGGAGAGTCAGCCCAAGCCCTGTCCACCAGAAGTTACACCCCACCACATCTGGATAGAGGCAAGTGCATGGCATTTAGAAGAATTTGGGGCATTTCATGGAAAACTGTAAACGTCTCTCAGGAATAGGCAGGGTAAATGCAGGAAGGATGTTCCCGATGACCAGGGAGTCCAGAGCCATTTATTACTGAAATGAAGAGATTTTTCTTCACCCTGACAGTGGTGAGTCTGTGAAATTTTCTGCCTTGGGAAGTGGTTAAGGCCAAAAGATTGAATTTTCATAAACTGACCTTGGTACTATAGCATTTTCTAATTCTTCAGTATTCAGCATGAGTATGAATTAAAATTGTCAACATTTGCTTAAAATACTCCCAGAATAATATAAAGGCTCAATGATATAAATGATAACCTAAGGCAGACTGGGTACTTTTCAGTACCAGTAGTGACCATGGTAAGGCCTTCCATGAGTCTGCATGGTATACAGTGAGATGATTCAATCAGGTAAACCATAATCCCTCAGGATGGCTTAGATGTGCCATATTTCAGAATTAAGTTTGCACAGTGAACAAATGGTTCAGAATATAATTACAAGATTGCCAACAAGGCCAATCTTAAATTGCGTGAAACTGTGGGTTTGGGGTTGTCGGCAGTAGAAAGCCCCCTGGCTCATTTCACGATGAGGACATCAAAGAAAGAGAGCTCGTTGACTGTTCCATTTCAAATGTGAGATGAGCTCAGGATGAAGGAAAGGATGTTCTTGTATGCAGCTGTGGAATTAAGTGTAGGAAACATGTCGTTTACATACTGTAAATATATGAAGGGTAGTACTATGTGCCATTCTATGAAAGGATTGTTTCTCACAGAATGCAACAATATTTACGAGAGCTGGGTCTAATGGGGATCCCATGGCAGCACCATCTTTTATGGGCATACTTGGTTCTTAGTACTCTTGAGAAGGAACTGCATGAGTTGTTGAGTTCGTAAGTTCAATGAATACTGATTCACGCAACAGTGACAGGCCCATACTGCCATGGTATAATGCTGCAGTGTGAATGTTTATGACTTGTAGAGTCATAGAGCTGTACAGCATGGAAACAGACCCTTCGGTCCAACTTGTCCATGCTGACCAGATATCCTAAATTAATCTAGTCCCATTTGTCAGACTTTTGCCCATATCCCTCCAAATCATTCCTATTCATATACCCAACCAGATGCCTTTTAAATGTTGTAATTGTACCAGCCTTCACCACTTCCTCTCGCAGCTCATTTCATACACACACCACCCTCTGCATGAAAAAGTTGCCCCTTGAGTCCCTTTTTAAATCATCTTTGGCTTTTCCTTTCATACATTGGTGAAAAGGCTACAATGTCAAATTAACACATGGACTGTACCTTGTTTTCAAAATGACAATCCTGTATGATCTTTGCAAGCGAGAAAGAATCCTTCACCTTTTAAGTGGAAAACATGTTTAAGATTAATTGTAGCAATTCAGCCAACCATTCAGCCAGCTCATGTTGTGTAGGGCCAGCCGTAGATAAGGGACATCACTTTTCCATGCCTGGGTAGCCCATGCGTACATGGAATTCAGTGGGTCATGTGTTATAGCTGTTTGGCCATGCTGAGCGGCAGGTTCAGTGGATTCAAATTTGGACCTATCATTAAGAAATGCATGCATTTTGTTGATATATTCACATTTGTTAGGCATAACTATTCTACTCCTCCTGGCAAGTTTAGTAACATGCAAGTCTAAGTTGGCCTCGAAGCCTCACAACGCTACCAGGTTTTCATATTATACATGAAAATTGGATAACTCGTTTGGAACTTACTTGCATGCACTAGATCAGATAGGCTCGCTTTCAACAATTCACCATTTTCATTTGCCACGGGTTTGTGGAGGGATACCTGGAATTCAAACACAGAAGACATTTCTTCTGAATGTGGGATGATGGCACACCAAAACTGAAACTACGTGAGAGGGCAGACTCCTCGCTTTCAGACGGTATGTGGTCGGAGAGATTTACTCAACGCTTAGTGACATATTTCTACTGACAATCATTTTGGATTCAGTCAGGTTCATAGTGCACTTGTGTTTACTGGAAGCTCCATACAGTAATACAGAGCCCTGTTCATTGCAGGGAGAAATAATATGTACATACACGGCTCCTGTTCCAACTCAAAAAAAAAAAAAGACAACCATTCGCATGTTTATTTCTTCGGGTAATGCCCTGACCAGTCAGAGTAAAACAGTGTGGTTTAAAATTTAAACAAAGCCTGGCATTTAATTATGAATCAGCATAGTGGGTTCATTGTAAGTCTCATTGCATCCTTTTGAACAGCACATATGTTTTTTCTTTCAAAGAAGTTCACTTTTGCCTCTCCCATCTGAAAGGGAAAACCATTGCAAAGATATGTGCTTGAATCCAGCTAGCTGATCTGGCCTTTACCTTATGATTACTAATAGTACATTTATTACATCTGCTTTTTTCTCTTAGTTCCTGGTGCAAAGGTTTGAGATTGCCAAGTATTGCAGTGCAGACCAAGTGGAGATCTTTGGCAGTTTGCTCCAACGTTCTCTGTCCTTAAATGTTGGAGGCTCCAAAGGAAGTTTGAACAGACACGTGGCTGCCATTGGGCCAAGATTTAAGTAAGTTCAGCGTGACTACAATGGAACTTGTATCCATGATAGTGACGATTGTGTGTACGTTAAATATGTTCTTGTATGAGAGAAAAGATCTTATGGTTTAAAATTGGCAGATCCGTTCTCTTCCCTAGAAAGTGCTGGAGGCTGTGTCATTGAATTTATTCAATTTATTCAAGGCAAACTTATAGGTTTTTGATGGGTTGCAGGCAAACTCGGGCCAATTGGCCCACTCCTGCTGCTAAGCCCTTTATTTGTCTTATTCTGCTGATGCTATGCTGTGTCTTGTTGCTAGTTAGCAAATGATAACAGTAATGAATGGCATATCTGCATTGTCGTTTACTCTCGCCTTTCCTTCAGACCTTGTAAAGGTCTAGCCACCTGCTTGGTACCTTCTGTAATGGACTTTTTCACCCAGAGCTGCCACACAGGAGGGCAAAAGGGATCAAAATTGCTGTAAATTTTCATTAACATCAATGCAAGCCCCCCATCATCTCATGGAAGTTTTGAGCAACTAACTGCTTTTGTTTGTGTCGTTCTAGGTTACTGACTCTTGGTCTTGCATTGTTGCATGCTGATGTTATTTCCAATGCCACAATTCGAAATGTGCTGAGAGAAAAGGTCTATTCCACTGCCTTTGACTATTTCAGGTAAATATCATCATATTGTTCAAGTGCAAAATCTGTGCGTTTATTTTCTGTGCAGTCCCAGTAGCACCTCGGTTTACATTTTACAAATTATTTCAGTGTTGCACCGAAGTGTCCAACACAAGAGGAGAAGAGACTGCGTGAAGATATCAGCATTATGATCAAGTTTTGGACAGCCATGTTCTCCGATAAGAAGTACCTCAATGCAAACCAACTTGTCCCTCCCGGTAAAGTTGTTCTCCTTGGCAAAACCTGGGTTAAATGAATGGAAGAGCTCTTTTTTTTTTCCACATGTCAAATGGAGACTGGAAGGAACAATCTGGCATAAGTATCTACATTTTCAGAGGAAGTTTGGAGCAGGTTAAGGAATGTTATGTTGAAAATGCCCCTCACTGGCATGATGTTTTTGACACTGGGAAATTAATCACATCAAGAAAAGTTCAGGAAGTGGTTGCAAAACTTAAAAATACATTAATTTCTGAAATGTGGTTACCCTATGAAACTGCCTAGATTTACTTTGAGATTAATTGAAGTATGTATATGCTTATTCAGACTTCAGTTATGCATACAGCTTCTTTCCGTATTGGATGAATGGATTAAATTTTATATAACCTTTCCATTACTAAAGGAAAAACTAAAAGCACATTGAAGTTTTAACTATTTAAGGAAATTCTCCTCAGTAGCAGAGGCTTTAAATGGTACAAAGTTGCACATTTGAAGCCTTGCTTTTGCGAAATGTAAGCGTATGACCAAAGCCTCAGAATAATTAGAGAACCCATGAAAACCCATGAACAAGAAAGGATTATTGGATATGTTGAGGCCATTGCTGTTCAAGATCATGTGCAATCTGGTCTACGAATGTAACAGTTGAGAAAAGTTTTACGATTTCTCCTTACCTCCAAAATTTAAGCTGTCAAATTCCATCTTGTGTTATTCATCCTTGACCAGTTGCTTTTCTTTGCATATCAACGTGATTCCAGCATTCGGTTGTTATGTTTTTCCAATATTTGATCATCTCCTTCTCTACTCACTTTATAACCCTTAATCTCATTTTGATCCTTAGTTGCCTTGAACCACATGGTCTGGAATTATCTCCCTATAACCTTTCACCCCTCAATCTGTCTCTCCTTTTCTAAGATCCTCCTTAAATCCACCTCCCTGGCCAAGCTTGTGCCACTCTACCAAATATTTACTTTGCTACAGCTTCCAAACTTTCCTCTGGGTCTCTATAAAGCCCCACTGACTTGCTTCCATTATTAAGTGCGCGATACATAGGAGCATTGTTGATGAGATATTCGATAACCTCTTTCATGCAGCTGTTAACCTGCACTGTCATTCTAGGTGTAAACAAAATCCTATGAAACTGAAAGGCTTCTATTCATCTCTCTTCGACATTCCCCTTTGCTGTAAAATTTGAAAAAAAATCTGAATCGTGATTTCTCTCAACCTGTCATCTTATTCCTAATAAATTAAATTTTGAGTTCTCTTAATTGAGAGAAAATATAAGCCAGCAAATAGGTTAATTTTTAAATACATTATACAATCTGATAGGGCTTTGGAACGATCTGCATTGTATTTCTTTCCAGCCAAGTAATTTGCCACCATCAAACTTTATAAAATAGGACTAGAATTTTCTTATGAAAAATCGATCTCCCTCACCCAGTCTCTCTCTCTCTCTCTCTCTCTCTCTCCCTCTCCATCTACCCACGCTCCATCATTCAAGTGTGCCCCCTCCCTCGCTCTGTTGCACCTCCTCACCCCTCTTTCATGCCTCTTATTTTCTTTGCCTCATTCCCCCCCACTTTCTTTTGCCTCATTCCCTCATGCATCATCTCCTTTTTACCCTTGCTCACCTCACCCTCTATTCACATCAAATCCCTTCAACTCATCCTCCACTCCATCCCCCTCTCTACATCTAGTGTTTTTAGTTTTCATTATGTTTTATCATTCATCAATTGTGCCCTCACTTTACTTCCTTTAGTACAGACTCCCAAATCATATGTGATTGCTTCCTTCTGGCAGCTTGCATGTGAAACAGAGAAAAGGCAAGAGAATGTGTCAGAAAAAAAACTTGCAAACTTAGAGAAATGGCAAGGACAAAAATTAACGAGGTATACAGGGGGAAACTAAGTAACAGAAGAGGAAGAAAGTATAGATCTGAGAGCAATTAAGGCTGCATTCTCTGTCATCCGTTTCAATATACCCCTTAAGACTAAATAAGCTCAGTATTTAAACAGCATGTCAATATTACACAAATAAACTTTTTATTTCCTGTCAAAGTTCTGATTTGATCCTAATTTTCTTCCCCAATAATCCAATTGGTTGAAACACACATGAAATAACATCCTAAAAGGAGAAAAATGGCCCATGCAGTTATTTTCTTTCCATTTGACTTTACTTTTCATCTTTCTTCTCTCTATTTTGCTGCTTATATTAATGCACACCTTTTGTTTTAAGTAGTATCTCTATGAATGCAATATCAAGTTTCAACCTTGCCTGCTGCTATTTAATACCATTGTTCCGAAACTAATCACCTGCTTTCATTCCTGTTCAACAAGGAAGGTTTCTCAACTTTCTGCTTTGACAGTTTGATTATAAAATCTTCAGAAAATGATTGAGGTCTACTAAATGAAGTTGAATAGCTCATTTTAACTTGAAGCAGTTTAGTGCAGGCCATTAGGGTTGTGCTGTGGTGCTTAGTAACTGCCACTAGCAACTCGAGCAGAATTGTGCTAATGGAATTTAAAAATTCATTCACGGGACGAGGGCATCGTTGGCTAGGGCAGCATTCGTTGCCCTTCCCGAACTGCCCAGAGAGCAGTTCAGAGTCAACCACATTGCTGTGGGTCTGGAGTCACATGTAGGCCAGACCAGGTAAGGATGGCAGTTTCCTTCCCTGAAGGACATTAGTGAGCCAGATGGGTTTTTCCAGATGAGTCATCATTAGTCTCTTAATTCCAGATATTTTATTTCTCCCACTGTCTGCTGTAGTGGGATTTGACCCCGGGTCCCCAGAACATTATCTGGGTCTCTGGATTAACAGTCCAACGATTTATACCACTAGGCCATCGCCTCCTCTCTAAAGTATCAGAATAACAGTTTCCTGTTCAAATATGAACTTGAACCCAGCCTACAGGTTTGCATCATGTGTTACTGAGTTAACTAATCCAAGAAGGTTTGTTGATCCTGTTCTGTGACCTCGGTCATATGTCAGGAGATGTGCTACAATTCCACTCCTCATTCCTGGCCAGAAAAGATTTACCTTCCTGGCACTGGATTCTGAGGATAAGTGAATGTATGTTGAGGAGAGGACACTGTGTTGCTCTCATAGACTATTTGCTTACTGACCCTTGCTGTTTGGGCACACTTATCAAAAATCTTGGGCAAAGTAACAGGATATCTCCAGTCTCTGAGAAATTGGTTCCCAATAGACATCAGTGCCCTTGAAGGGGAATGGAGCAGAAGTTAATATTTTCTCTCGTTGTGTATGAGGTTGTACTTGTGCAACCATAAGGAAAAACCTCAAGAAAGTACTACTTAACAGCTGGTGCTAAACTGCCGTGAAATGCATTTCAGTTGCTTGTGTTCTCTTGCCTGCAATTTTGTTTGAAAAAGATCATTGCAGTTTTATTGTAGTTCAAAGAGAACTATTGGGCATAAAGCTTACAAATGGAAAACTATTCTTCAGACAACCAGGATCCCTCTGTGAATAACCTGTCTGTTATAACTGTGGCTGATTCGCGGAACAATCTTGATGTTGCTGTTGGAACACGACAGCAAGCTACACAAGGCTGGATCAATACCTACCCACTGTCCAGTGGAATGTCAACTATCTCCAAAAAATCAGGTGATGTGAACAATGGAAACCTTTTAAACTACGTTGGATCTGCATGTTGCCTAGTTTTTTTTTTCCAGAGCCTTTCTGTGGTGTTGTAGTTGCGGCAGTTTTGTTTCCTCATGCTTGCTATTTGGTAATTCTATTGTTGAGTGTTTTGCATTCAGATCATATAATGTGTGCAAGGATCTTTTACAACTTCTGTGATGGCCATTTCATATGCAGAGATCATTTCATTGAATTTCTTTGTTTGATTGGTAATTTGCTCCTCACCTCGCCGAAGGTGACTCATTTATAAAAAGTTCAATCAAAATATTGGTTAAGTATCAACTGCAGCTCACACCATGGCATCCAGAAGTATCTTAAAAGAGGCGTTATGGCATGCAGGAAATCTTGGAATGCATCAGATAGTCATTAATGTATTGTGATGGTCTGAAATGGTATCCTGTTGAGGTCCAGAATTGTATGCAATATTATTGAGTTATTTTACGTGATCTAAATGAAATGATTTGTTATTTCCAATCAGGCATGTCAAAGAAGACTAATCGAGGTACTCAGTTGCACAAGTACTACATGAAAAGGCGGACACTGCTGTTGTCTTTACTGGTGAGTTGTTTAGGACAGTAATTAAGACAAAGCTATGCTTTATACATTCTGCTTCATTAAGCTATTCATTTGGTCGTAGTTTTCCAAATAATAATGATACAGGTTAATTAAGTTTCACTAGAGTAACACACAGACATATTCTAAAGTCCCTGTTTGCACAAGATAGATGTGAATGAAAAAGGCCATGTATCCCGCTTCTTAACCATGATTCCAAATTCTTTCAGTGCAATACTCAACATTTTAAAAATAAAATTCATTGGAATGATTGCCTCCAGTACGTTATTCAGGAATCATCTCATCTACTCTGCATTTTGATAACTCTTTGCTTCCCTGACAATGATCTTAAATGTGTCTGTTTTTTTTTTTTTTGAACTAATTTCAACTTTTTTGGCCCTTGTCTGATTCATGCAATTCAATTAGAAAGAATTTTCCAAATTTTATTTTTCTGTGTTTTTAACAATCGACTTAATGTACTTCGATAGTATCACCTCTCTAGCATACATTTTCCAGGTTTTATTTTGCCATTATCCCTTTACAATGAACTTAGTCAAGAACAGAACTGGTAAAGTGGTGATCTTGGTCCTCATACTGATAGGCTTCGAAAACAACAGAAATTACGCTAAATAAAAACCGAAAGAACTGCGGATGCTGTAAATCAGAAACAAACACAGAAACTGCTGGTAAAGCTCAGCAGGTCTGGCAGCATCTGTGAAGAGAAATCGGTTAATGTTTCAGGTCTGGTGACTTTTACTCAGTGTTTATGAGCATTGCATAATTAGTGCTGTGCTCCTCACTTTGGCTATTTATTGGGAGAAGGGCATCAGCTAGACATGTATCACATGGTATTGCAACAGTAATATTTAATTTTCACTAAAACTTTAATTATTGTTTCTGAAAGGTCAGTTAGGAGGTTTTATGAGGGAAAATAGAATGCGGTGAGAATGTGTCACAAAGCAGTTGATTATGTACTGATATAAATGCAATAACTTACCTTTGTATAAAGTGATAGAAACTGACTCTTTGGACTAACCAGTCCATGCTGAACATAATCCCAAATTAAACTGGTCCCATTTGCCTGCTCCGGGCCCATATCCCTCTAAACCTTTCCTATTCATGTACTTATCCAAATGTCTTTTAAAAGTTGTATATTAGCGAAATATAATAACTATTAAAACTATAATAAATCTTTAACTTAGCCTGCACTCGCAGGAGCCCCTGCAAGATCCATGTCTATTGCCTTTACTGTAGTAAATGACCTGAAGTATTTCAAAAGAGCATCAAATTAACTTGACCTGTGAGACTGTCATCAAATAGAAAACAGTTTAGAAGTTTTTAAGATTCATTCTTTCTTCTGTAGAAAACTGTTTTGATATTTCACTAAATCCTCAAAATTTGGTCCGCTCTGCTCTCATGCCATTTTTCCAGCTACATGATTGGAATACCAGAGGACAGTTAGAGATGGGAAATAAATGCTGGCCTAGCCAGTGGCTCCCAAAATCCTGTGAATGACTAAGAAGAAAAATGTTAGCTACATTTGATTTGAAGAGGATCGTACTTATCCAATTAGTGTAATCTATACATGTCATTGCCAAAGCACAGCTCTTTACAAACAAAAACAAAGTTGCTAGAAAAGCCCAGCAGGTCTGGCAGCATCTGTGAAGGAAAAAACAGAGTTAATGTTTCGGGTCCGGTGACCCTTCCTCAGAACTGATAGTGGCTGGGAAAATGTCAGTTTATGTGCAGAAAATAGGGAGGAGGGTGGGGTAGGGTGTGTAAACGATAGGATAGAGCCTTGAGAGAGAGAAGGACAGTTGGACAGTTAAAGGAGTTGATAACGATCAGGCTGGGAGGGTGAATAGTTATTAATGGGCACTATTACTGACTAATAACAGGCAGTGTGTATGGCAGGCTATGTGATCACAAGTAAAAACCGAAAGAACTATCGATACTGTAAATCAGGAACAAAAACAAAGTTGCTGGAAAAGCTCAGGAGGTCTGGCAGCATCTGTGAAGGGAAAAACAGAGTCAATGAGGAAGGGTCACCGGACCCAAAACGTTAACTGTTTTTTCCTTCACAGATGCTGCCAGACCTGCTGAGCTTTTCCAGCAACTTTGTATGTGATAACAAGATCTGGTATGTGGGGTTGGGGGCTGGGACATGGGAGAGTTTTTAGGCTGTAAAATGATTGAACTCTATATTGAGTCCGGAGGGCTTCAGGGTCCCCAGCTTGCGTTGAGCTTTGCTGGAACACTGCAGCAAGCCAGAGACAAGGATGTTGGCCAGCTCTTTACAAACTTGGATCACTTTAGGGAAGCAGAACATCATGAGCAATTCATTAAATGTTTTGGGCATTGTGCACCATCAATGTGATTTAAATGGCATTATGATATCAAGACTATGTGACTTTTAACTCTTAATTATGAAGGATGGTAATTGTCCAATTCATCAAAATAATATATAATTTCATATTACTCATTCATATTCATGATTGCATGTCTGCTTGATGAGTTACACTGTTCTCTCAATTCAAAGCTCCTTAATTTCAGTCCTTCATTTGATCATTTAATTATCAAGAAAAGACAATTTTTATGTAAGCTAGGCTCGTTAAATAACTGATAGTAAAGCAGGAAGAAAACTAATTCTATATTAGGAAGGGTCAATAATTAGAGGATCCAAATTTAAGATAATTGACTAAAGAGCAAAAGCAACATGGGAAAGTATTTTCCTAAACGGTGAGTTAATGTAACCTGGAATGCCCTGTCAGGAAGGGTGGTGGAAGCAGATCTAATAATCATATTCTAAAGAGAATTAGATAAATACTTGAAAGGAAAACAGAATCCCGGATCACGGGAAAAGAACCGAGGACTGATATTAATTGAACAAAGAACCGACCCTGGCACAATTGGCCAAATCACTTCCTGTGCTAGTTACATTCAATGATTCAATAGTTACATTAGATTTATGGGTAAACAATTTAAAAAAGCGTGTACTTTAATAGAGGGAAAGACAGTCTTTATAAAGCACCTTTCACTGCCTCAGGACATCCCAATCACTAGCAGGCAATGAAGTTCCTTAGAAGTGTACTCATGTCATAGTGCAGAAAACACAGAAGCTGTGTTACGCACAACAATCCGTCACAAACCTGCCGTAAAATAGTCTGGTTTTAGTGATCTTGATCAAGGAATAAATATTGGAGATGACTCTGCTGTTCTTCTTTGAGAGAGTGGCGTATGATTTTGCATGCTCACTTGAGAGAGCAAACAGGGCTTTGATTTAACAACTTGTTTGGCAGTGCAGTACTGTCTTAGCACTGGATTTTTGTGTAAGTTTGGGATCCACAGTGAGACTTGAACCCGTGGTCTTCTGACTCAGGCGAGCCTTCTACCCGCAAGCCATAGCTAACGTACCAACGAATGTTTACATTTGTTTTTAATGTTTAGGCAAATGAAATCGAACGACTCACCACATGGTATAACCCCCTGTCGTCCCCCGAGTTGGCATTGGACCAGGCTGGAGAACTCAGCGTAGCAAATTGGCGGTCGAAGTACATCAGTCTGAATGAAAAGCAGTGGAAAGATAATGTAAATCTGGCCTGGAGCATCTCACCTTACTTGGCAATAGAGCTGCCTTCCAGGTAACAGGCTAGAAGGTTAAAACTTCATTTCATCATTTCACATCAGGTTAACTGGAAGCAGTAATACAGCTGGATCCAAAACTGTTGCTTAATATTTTATACCAGTAGTCAGCTGGCTAATACATAAATTAAAATTGCCACATCAGTTGTAGCATTTTCAGTCGCTGTGTTCCATGTTTCACTCTTCACCCTCTGGGTATTGATTGAATACTAGTGGAATCCAAACTCTTTCCATCTGGGATTGACTAATGCCATGGAGGGCGGGACGGTGGCTCAGTGATTAGCACTGCTGCCTCACAAAGCCAGGGACCCGGGTTCGATTCCAGCCTCAGGTGACTGTCTGTGTGGAGTTTGCACATTCTCCCCGACTCTGTGTGGGTTTCCTCCGGCTTCCACAGGTACGTAGGTTAGGTGGATTGGCCCCAGTGTGACCAGTGATGTGTAGGCGAAGTGGATTTGCCATGGGAAATGCAGGGTTACAGGGAAAGGGCAATATTGTTAGTGTACACTTGATTGTCCGAATAGCCTGCTTCTACACTGTAGGGATTCTGTGATTCCATGCGCATTTACAGACCCCATTGTGTTTTATTTGTGTGTGTCCAAACCTGTGTGGTGCAGTTAACAGGAAAAATTGAATTAAATGACATCCCTCAATGGATGGACAATTTGATCCACTGGGTAGCAGAGCCTTGCTGGACAGAAAGTTCTGTTCATTGTTGATGCAACATTGACTGATCTGTCTTCAGTTGGCATGTTACAATTGTCCTCAGGGCCATGTGGTTAACATATGAACCTGCAATTCAGAGTGGGAGGAGGCTACTTGATCTCTTGAGCCTGCTCCAACATACAGTCAGGTCGTGGTTAATTTGATTACTTCACATTCCTGCCTATTCCTGATAACATTTCACCCCCCCCACTCATTTATCTATCAACCTCTGCTTTAAAGATATTAAAGAACTCTAAAAGAGTTCCGAAGTCTGTTAGGGAAAGTTTCTTCTTAGATCTGCCTTCTGTAAGCAACCCCGCTCTAGACTCTTCTATGAGAGAAAACATTCTTTCCACATCCAACCTAAGACCCCTCAGGATCTTTAATGTTTCAGTCAAATTATCTCTCATTCTTCTAAACTCCAGATGTAAATCCAGTATTTTGTCGAGCTGTGGTCTCATCAATGCCCTGTATAACTGAAGTATAACCTCCTAACTTTTGTATTCAAATTCCCTTGCAATGAAACATGCAATTCTAATAGTGTTACTAATCATTTGTTATACCTACGTACTAACATTTTGTGATTTATGCACCATGACATCTAGATCCTTTTGTGTCTCGGAGCTCTGCGTTCTCTCACCATATAGATAATATATTTTTCAATTCTTCCTGTTAAAATGGAAAATGTGTACTTTGTTTTGCATTGTATTTCCTAAGACAAGAGAAGAATTTGACTAATGCTGTTGAGCAACATCTGGCTAGAAAGGTATTGGATGAGGCCAGGATTGGGTTTAGTTTTAATGTTCCCATCCCAATTCCTCTTAACCAAATGGTTGCTGATATTTACTTCCAAAGCTACTGCATGAGAAATGACAGCTTGAGATCATAGAATCCCTACAG